AATGATGACATATTTTTCTCTTTTGGGTGAACCATTTAAAAGTACAACACGTGGCAGGAAAATAAAAAAAGGGTAAAACTAAAGCTCAAGATGCTGTCAACATGTTAGAGTGTATATCTAATCTAAAATTGACATGAACTAGTCAACACTTTTCTACTCTTATTGGTTGTTGTTGCATGAGATCCAAAATAAAGCAGCTTAAGAAGGTATGTTCTGGCATCCAGCAGCTTGTCGCTTGTAATGTTGGTAAAGTGATGGGTGTGCAGTTAGGTGGAGACGTGACTGTCTCGAGAGACGGTGGGAAAGTGAGTTGAAAGGCCTCTTTTATCTTCATCTAAATCAACTGTCAACAAGTGTAAATCACCAAGAAGACATAAAAGCCAACATGCAAACGTAGCAGCAGCGTGCCAAACAAACATGCATCACATTCACCAGGAGAAGATGCTAGGGTGCGAATGAGACGTGCGAGAGCCGATGGCAAGAAAAAAAAACCCCTATAGTGATTACGGTTATGCAGAACACTACTTTTAGCTCCTCTGAATGCCACTATATGTGGCCGTGGTGGGCTGATTCAAGATGAGCAGCATGATCCTGATTCATGGACCAGCTGACAGCCACATCATCGCTGCATGCATATTTCCCATCCACTTATGGTTAAAGCACAGATACAAACTTGTTCTGTCTTGCTTAACAGTTGAAGAGACGCTGGATTTCTCTGCATAATGAGGTCAAGGGAAAGAGTCAAATGAAAAGATGATGCGACTTTGCTGACCAAAACCATTAATCCATTTCTGCTCATCATTTACTTTTTTTTCCCAAAACAATACAGATGAATGCCATTGAATTCACTGGATGTTTCAGGGAAAAAAAACATCAAAATAAATATATTTTTACAACATCTACTGAGCAGAAAGTGCGACTAAGGGTCCTTTCACACCTACTTTGTTTGGTCTGGACTTTCTGACTTTTCAGTTTGGTCCGAATCAAAAATATAGGTGTGAAACCTCAGCCGGACCACAATCAGGAACGAACAGATGAAATTAGGTCAGACGAAAAGAGGTAGTCTCAGTCCGGATCAAACTGAACAAAGGGTCTTTTCTAGTGTGAAAGCATTTCTGGTTCGGATTTTCAGATCTTTTACAGGAAGTTCTGGTGGTTCCCGCATAGCCGAAAAAACAGAAGGTGGCAGGAAAAATGAGCCGTGGTAGCACATGTGAAGAGGAGGAGACAAGGTTTTTAATTGAAGATGCCGAACTGACAACACGCTGACGGTCAGACGCACGTCCATTTACAAAAACAATCAATAGCCGCGTTTCCACTGCCGGGCTAGGGCTGGGCCAGAGCTAACAGCGAGCCGGGCCGAGCTAGTGGCCTCGGGCCTCAAGCACCGGGCTTGCGTTTCCACTGCCGGGCCAGTAGCCCCACAGCGCTGCCCCAGACCCCACCCCTAACACGCCTTTCAGGATCAAACGTCATAAAACCCAACCCATTTCAGCGGGTATTATGAATTAATTTATTTTTTAAATTAGGAAGATAGCATGTATATTAACTCACCCGCCGTAGTGGCTGCAATAGTGTCCCGAGACCAGTACAGGCGATTCTCCATTTCAAGCAGCGATTTTTTGCGCGATATAACAAGTAGGGCTGCGGGCACGTTTTCAAGTTATTCATTAATCGTTAACCGAGGCCCATCGGTTAATACTCGGTGCATAGTGTGCGCGCCGCAACCTCGAGATACAGAGTAAATTTTTAACACCTTTAATAACTGATTGGACCCCATTTGAAACGAAATTAATTTATAGAAATAAAACGCAGCAAGTACGGAGCAGTTAAAGCCCATAATTCCATCACCCTTCAAACTGAAATTGCCAATTGAAAATAAGCAAAACGTCCATTTCACAAAAACTCCGTGTCTGCAAATAATAATAATAATAATAATAATAATAACCATCATCATCATTATTGTAACATTTTATTAGGCTGCATATGTAGAAGACGTCTTTATCCAAAAAAGGAACAGAGCACAAATAAACACAATATTTTTGACGCATATCCAGTGTGTGTGGAGCACGCACTGATGGCTGCGAGACGCCCATGTGAACAGTTTCATTGCATTTCTTTCAGTGGAAACAACTTAAAATAGTCTTTAATTTCTGGTCATACAGAAAATAATAATACATTATTCGCAAATACATTTATTTATAACAAGAAAACGTTGTGCTTTAACAATTAATCAAGGCGCGCTTCATGATCTCCGTGAACTGAAGCGCGAGACCTGAAACAGCCACCGCATTCGAATTTGTTCGTTTTAAATTGGACATTTAAAGCTTTAGTCTACAGGGGTTATATCCTTTGTAGATTAAAGCTTTAAATGTCCAATTTAAAACGAACAAATTCGAATCGAAAGCCAATATCTTCTATGTTTATGTAGCTTAATTTCTCTCTAAATGTGCATCCGGAGATGGAGATATGTTTTTAGCCGAAAATCATTTAGAAAACAATAGTTTATTAATAAACAATTAATGCCTCGTTATTTTATATTATTTTATTATCAGACACATTTATTATAGCCTATAAATCACCCATAAATCCCCTTTCTGTAGGCTGTGGTTACGGCTCTTCTCATTCAGCACTGCGGGGAAAATATCATTTCCAGGTTCTAATTTGGCCTCAGAAAACCAGTAAAATATATATTTTTTTCATATTAATTTGTCAAATATTTTAAATGTTTAAGGGGCAAAAAAATCAAACAAATATCTGAAAATTCGTCGATATGTATAGCTATATATAGCCTATATATTGTTGCGCAGCATTTGGCATAGGCCTACAGTTCAAATTAAAATGTTATGCAATTTTAAACGGTTAATCGGTTAAACATGGACACCCCTGTGTGCATCTTGCTTCAGATCATAACGTTCCTTAACACCGATAAACTCCGCCTTTTACCTTGAACACGCCTCTAGCCCGAGCTGGCCCCCTCTGGCCCAAGGTATTCGACGGGCCAGAAATCCTGGCCGTTGGCCCTGAGGAAGCCCCGATCAAGCCCCGGAAGTGACAGTGGAAACGCGACTGGCCCTGGCACGCACTAGCACGGCCCGGCAGTGGAAACGCGGCTAATGTCAAGATGCAGCCCACATAGATAATGACGACAGAGACACAAGCATGTCATGTAAATTTCTTTAGTGCACTCGCATAATTGCTGTGTGAAACCAAACCAAAACTTTCTAAAAGTATAAAATGTATCGAAACGTGAACTTTGGTTCGGACCTTGGTGCGGACTTTCAGGTGTCAAAACGCCCGAGATGCGAAGTTGTATCAAAGGGCACCATTAAGAGAAATTCAGGAAATGTCCTCAAGAAAGTGGAATCTCCGCTGCAATTAGGAACAATCACAACAGATTTTATCACGCTGCGCTGCGTAACAATCAGCACACATCAAAGCTCGGAGCTGCAACCAGAATGATGGAGAACTAGGGGGGAGGGGATGTGTAGTATTTGACTTGTCCTCTGGGAAACAGCCCTCCAGCTCACCAGGTACAGCCCCATGACCTCAAAGGAAGAGCACATTCCTGCAGCTATGCCCAATCAGGAAGTTGAACTCCCCATGCCAGCTCAACACCAAACCAATCCATCAGATATCGACCAAAAATTGTCCTAGCATTTAAAGAATGATTATCAACCTTTGAGAACCTTTGTCAGCATTGTGTGCAAAATGTCCAATGGGGAAAATGTCAATAAAATGAAGGATTGCAAGTAGCAGGACCTAAAACAAGCAGGTGGGAAGTTGACAACTGGGCCCCCGACCCCTGGTTGAGCAACACTGGCTTTTAGACAGTCAAATAATGAGCTGAGGAATGCAACATCTTATTTCCCCGCAGATATTTAGATTCCATGATCCAGTGCAATAATTTGAATAAAAGTTATGAAATCCCTCACTCAGCTGGAGAATGCAAACCTGACGTCATTTTCTGCAGATCACATTTCTCCTCTCACAGATATTGTGCTTCGTTCTCTCCAATAAGTCCTCTGGATCCAGGCAGGAGTAGACCTCATGGTACAAACTATCTTGAGGCGTTATTTCAGTACCCAACAATATTTTCCAAGAGATTAAAAACGACCGTCTATTTTTTTCCCAGAGCTGCTAACTAGTGAGCTTTAATTCCCAGTACAAAAGAGCAACTATCCTACTTCTGATGTTTGGAAAACAATGCACGGCGTTGCATTAAAACAAACCAATAAAAGAAAGAAAAACAAAAACAAGTATCGAGAAGTCGAGATACTTTCTGCACAATATGAAAGGACAAGGCCAACAGCAGCTAATGTTTTCCTCCATAAACAGACACAGCTGTTGAAGAATAGGCTGTCTGGAATACTAGGGCATGATGGAGTTGACCACCTTCACGTCATCCATCATTCACTCATTTTGCTTAAATCGTTGCCAAATATTAACTTATACGACATCATTCCAACAACTGACTGTTTTGCAACACTGTTTGTAAACACCTGGAAAAACAGCGAAATCAGCATCCCTATTTCACCTAAACATTTGGTATCACTCCAAAACTCACGGATATAGGCTAACAAAATACTTTTTAAGAAAGCTAAAGTGTTACCTTTTGTAGCGTTTAAGTAACAGTATAGCCTACGCGCTAAATAAATGAAAAAAAAAATCCAAAGTTGGAATTCAACGACGAAGACGTCAAACTACGAATTTTCTAGTAAATGTGGCGAATATTTAAAGTTGCGCGACGAGTTTTGAGCATCTTCGGGAAAATAACGGATAATCCATGCAATACAGCCCCTTTTCTTGCGGAATAATGAAGTTTTCCGTCGCATCTCCTTGTTGGCCAACTAACCCAGACTCCCGGCGTCAACGCCATCCAGACACAAAAATGCAGGCAACTTTCCGTTATAAACATAATTTCATCGTTTAATTGGGAAAAGCACACACACGCGAGCTATAGCCAAATGGAGAGCTAGTAAGCGATAAGAAAAGCTTACCTCGCTGCAATAAAATGATGTTGAAAGAAACTCCAAAGCTCCACTTTCGACCCAGACACAACTTTGGCAATCCTTGCTCCCTCCAGTCTGCTCCACCAGCGCAGCGTTCAGTCAGGGGGAGATTCCGCGGCCATGTCAATTATGTCCCACAGCACATGTGAGCTTAATCCTGCCCCCTTTACCGTAAGCAACCATATAAACGAACTTCAGAGCCGAAGGGAACAATTTAAAGACCACCAGACACATGCACAGACACAGCAACAACACGTCAAAATCACTGATGCTTGGTTCATGTATGGTCCAAATCAGATTGTTTTTTTTTTTTTTACAAGATTACATATTAATCAATAGGCAATGGCAACAAATTGGTTCATTTTCTTTTAAAATGCATAGCACTGTAAAAAAAATGGTTTAACTGCTTGCCTTAAAATGTTGAGTTCATTGAAATTGGATAATTTGAGTTAATATAATGAAGGATATTTGTTTATTCAACAGAAACAAGAAATATTATGTTATCTGAATCACACAAATCATCTAAGCTGATTTGACAAAAGAGAAAAATGTGTGATAAAAAATAAAACAGTGATAGGATAAATAACTTTCAAGGAGACACCTGGACAATAACTTTGCAACTCATTGCTCAAATTAATGTCATTGTAAAAGATTACTACTTTTGAACAAAACAAACAAAAAAAACTACTTAGCAAACTATAGCTCACTAATAGTCCCAGTATTTTTTGTGTTCATGGATACTTAATAAAATTACTGATTAGATTTTTTATAAAAACATAGGCTAAAGAAACACTTACATGTTTTGTTGTCAAATAATACAATATAGGCTAATTCTTTTGTGTGTGTCTATGTGATCATTACTGAATTTTTTCTTGTAATTCGTAAAAAGTATTTTAAATATTAAAAAGTAATCCTAAGTAAACACTGAGTAAGGTATAGTTGTTTTTTATCGCTGTTTCTTATATGCAACACATTACAATTAGGAAGATTTAACAATGAAAAATTGTAAAGTGTTTTTTTAATGCATTATTAAAATCAAAAGATGTGTCAGTTTATATTATTTAATGGACCTGAGACAGTTATTTTTATGAGCTAACAATAACAACACCAAAAACAATTTAATGCTCTATGTTTATAGATGTTAAATGTCATTAACTAAGGTTAACTAATGGAACCTTATTTTAAAAAGTTTTATTGATCAAAATGTTTTCCAGTTGTTGAGACTTTAAATATTACTGTTTGACCCCCTGAGATGTGTATAAGTTCAATTGCAGTTCTCTGAATGTTATTATATTGTGGGTCACTGTTTGCTGCACCATCCTGTGTTTGTGTCGTTTTGCAGGCCTGTCATCACAAGACAAATTTAGAAAATTCGATGGATCATTAAACTGTCATGTATCCAAACTATTTTAAGTCTACTGCATGCCCATGACTCATGGCATAATTATGTAGCTGAAAATACTTTTTAAATCTCAAAATCAGAAGAGCACAGCTGAACAAACTCAATGCCCCTTGTCCTACATTTTTCACTTCGCCGACGTTGGCAGGTAACTCACACGGTATATGTGTCTGCTGCCACCAGCAGGACAGTTTAAGGTAGGGCATTCAAGCTGCTACTCTACCAATATAATGAAGCGGGGTTTTTTTTTTTTTTTTACAATAGCCTACAGATTGTTTCAAACCAGCTTTACAGTGATAACAATAAAATGATGCAACAAAGTTTGTTTCGGCTGTTCAGCAGATCTAGAAAAAAATAGTGTCATTGGCCAGTAAGTTCCGTGTTGATAGATTTCTGTTGTAAAAAAATATATCCTATATTAATTAGGCAATTTTTTTCTATTCAGCCGCTGTGGAGATGGGTCTTTTTATGTGAGCTACTGTATGTCTTGGATTTTATGTTTTTTTTGTAGGCTATGCGTCATGAAACAGAAGTAGTAGCCTAGGCTATAAGCGTTTATCGAAATTTCGAATGGAACGCTTCTCGAACAAGAACAAAAGTTGACAGGTTGTCCCGCCCTCGCGACGTTATTTTGATTAAAAATAAAGAGGGCACAAAAAAGAGGGTCACATTTAAAAAAAAAAAAACTGTGAACGAAATAAATGACAAAATAAAAATGGTCAGTTTTGATTTCATGGTGACTGTTTTTTTAATCTCAACCTATCTCACAGATGAGATTAGTTAGGTTTTACCACATAAATGCATTGCTTTGAGCCTGAATAATCAATCATCTTCATGACAGAAGCAGATAATGAGGTTTAAGTGCACAAAGAATGTTTTATTGAATAAAATAATAGTGTGGTGAAAATGTGGATAATGTCAGTGCAGTGTCCAGGTGTTCTGTGACAGCTTGATACAGGATAGGGTGTTCCCTTCTATTGAAGTTGCCTAGTGTCAGAGGTGTCAGTCTGGAACAGGAAGAGCTGGCTGTACACTGATTCTGACATGAAAGCACTTTCAAGGGCGTGGAGCACAACTCACCTTCATTTTTTTTTTTTTTTTCTACAAATCGGTCTTCGTTTTCTCATGAGATCGGGTTGGCCGGTATGGAATCCTTTAGCATTTTCTATTGAATCAACTGAAAACATTCCCATCAACAGCTAGAACATGTGTTTCTACTCTGCATTTACACCAGGGTAATGGAGTCTCCTCATGTCTGCCAGAAAAGAGGCGGATGGAAAGTGATGATAATTCACGACACAAACAGAAAGAGACAGACACAAGTGTTTGGCTGTATTGATCAGATAACGTACGGTATTTCCCAATGCAGTTTGTCATAAACAGGACAAACATGTACTTTTTTCCTATATGGACACCTGGAAAAGCGTTTTAGATGGAATGAATACCAAAGACATTCTTTAGTGAGATTCCTCTCTGGAGACCAAAATAGCGGAAAAAAATGAACTGCACACAGCGAAAAACAGAGATGGCCTGGATTTACAGGAGTTTACTGCTTGAATCATTCTGAAATGCAACTTAATTTTTTCCTCAGAGACTCCAATACATCAGATGAAAAGAATTTGCCAGAAGGTTTATGTTCAAAAAGACACAACATTATTACTCTTTTAATGCCCACAGCCGAAGGAGATTATAGTACTTTTTCCTAAAAGTTGTTTTGTTTTGTTTTTAGGGGAAGATGTTAATCTTGCAAGGGAATTTGTCCATTTCCAATGGATTTCTAAAGTGCAGCTGAAAAATTGAATTGTCTGACTGGCCAATTTCATGAAAATGTGTAAGAAATGTACTTTGTGTATAAATTGGGTTATATTTCTAACATATGGATCCAGGATCCCAATTCCTGATGGGTTTATAGGCAACACGTACCAAAACACAAAGCAGCTGTGATGTACATAAAAAGTGCATGATACGATAAATGGCTAGAACCCACTATATTTGATAACAGATAGGAAAAGGGGTTTCTTCACTGGGGTGGGGGGTGAACTATCCCTTTAAGTAAGACCAGGTTTGGCACATGCACCTCCTGTCATGAATGAAAAGCCTGTAGGCATTGCATGAATTAACATTTTTATTTATTTTCATAATTTTCCAAAAGAAAAAAGAAAATTCATGCGAACACCAGAGCCATCTCATCAGAGCACTTAAGAGATCAAGCTACTAAAGTCCTGTCTTTCACCGTCTACAAGCAATGCATATCAGATCCAAAAGAAAAAAGAACACGTGGAAAGATATAAAACTCAAAAAAGATAAAAAGAAGAAAAAAAGTTGCACACTAACAAGTTTTGTTGTTTACAGCTTCTGTAGCTGCCAATAGCTGTCCAGAAGATCAGATTTGCATAGCGCTCAATGTGCTAGAGATACAAATGATGAACCAGTATTGTGGCATTAGTCAAGTTTACCTTCAGCTTTGTGTTTTAATGTCTAATAGTCCTGATAAAAGTGTAACACTACAGCAGTTGTATTGCTCTGTTTTTTCTTCTTCTAAGTGCTACTTGCATGTCATTAAATCGCAGAAATGTCCAGTTGATTGTCACCTGTCAGCAATTTCATATTGAATTCCTTCATAAAGCCCCTGTCCACTCAGCTTAATGCACATTATATAACACTGGCAGTTAGAGATATATCATAATTTAAATGTCCCCTACCACTCAGTGGCAGAGTCAATCACATGGCAAAAATAAAATACAAAGACATTTACAGTGGCTATATAAAATAAATGTCCTAGGTCAAAAAAAGAGCTAGACTACAGTACAAGGAAAAGCTATTGGTAAACCATAAAATGGCTGGCCAAACAAAAACAAACAAACAAACAAAACCACTTCACATATATAAATATATTACACTAATTACATAAACCAAAGAGTGTGATCGAGTGGAGGAGGGAGGTTTGGCCATCAAGCACACAGAGAGACATTTGTAAAACACTGATCTAGCAGTAAAGCTGAAGTCTGTCATTTTGGATAATAAAATAATTTCTCCAATCCCTCCATTAATGTGCAGAGAACTGTAAGATAGCGTAGGTTGATTTCCCTGTAAACATTGTGGCTCTGTGGCGCTTTCAACCCAATGGCAAGCGTTTGGGGAGGGGCCTACCTGTTTGAGATGGTTATTTTTGCAATTCCAATTCATTACACATTATATGATTGACTTTAAATGTGGACTCTAGTTAATAGCACTGAATTTTGGTGACTTGATTGAGTGGTCAACCAAGGGGTCAGGGGTCAAACGGACTGCGAGTTAATGTCCACGCCAAATAAATAGTATGTTACAGCTCTCTTTACATGATTGCAGGTGAAATTAAACACATACATTATAGGACAAATGTCTCTGTACACTGAGGATGAAAAGTATGATGAATTTATATATATATATATTTATTTCACGTTTACATTTCTTGAAAAAGATGTGACCATTTCAGATAACCCCAGATAAAAACATCATATAGCTGAGAAAGGACATTTCCAAAAAGCACTTTCAAGTCTAAGATTGTCCTGGTCAGTTCGTCTGGAAATATGTAAAAGGAGGTTTTGTGTCTGTAATTAAGTTCAAACAGAAGTCTTTTCTTTAAGCAACAACATGCAATACCATCAGTGACCACTGGGAGCAACACGTTTGCACCGTTGCCACGTCCCTTAAACATAATGTGCAACACAGCATAGCACAAGATATGTGCTGATCTCA